TTGATACGAAATTAGATCAAAATTAAAATTACTTAGTCTATAATTTAAAGGACAAAAATTAAAAATTGTCTTAAATAGGTTAATTATGCAAAAACTTGCCTTATGATTATGCCCTTCGTCAAGCCCACAATCTTCTCTGGATCTGAACTTTAACGTGAACATTAGGGCCCAACAGAAATATTGGGCTTTAAAATGAAACGGCCCTTAACTATAAATGTCAATCTACTTAAAATTTTGGGAAGGAAAAATTACATAAATAAATATATTTTTTTAAAATTAATTATTGATTTTAGCGATATTTTTTGTTTATTACTATTTATAGCAATATTGTGATAAATCTTTAATATATATTAAAAGTGAATTATGTATGCAATATATTTGAATTATAATTGTTTTTGAAATATATTATGTTTGTTTAGTAAAAAATTGTCACATTGTATTATAAGTTTATTAAAATGTGTGATAAATGTATTATTTATCATTAAAACTTGTATTATATTTGAATAATAAATTTATCTTTGTATTATCCATCGTTAAAACTTGTATTATATTTGAATAATAAATTTATCTTTGTAATGTGTATTAAGCTTGTATTATAAATAAATTAAAAAATGGTCAAGTGAAAAAAAAATGTTATTGCTATAAATAATAAATATTTTTGTATTATAGTATATTTATGTAAACATCACAAATTTTGGAGTTAATTACTTAATTATCCTCTAAATTTGTAATATTTTCTTATTAAAATTTAGTGTGTTCAAATACGTCCAAATCCATGTAACTCAGAATACATGAGCCAAAATTAAGTGTAATTTGTTATAAATTGTATTCAAATGAATTTGCATGTATAGAACATAGACAACAAAATCAGTTTTCTCACGAATTCACATTCGACGAATATTGTATTTATTAGGAAAGGTTTTGATTCATTGCTCTCAGCTTGGATCGCGATTGAAAACTCTTCGATAGGGGAAAGTCACTTGCTCGCCTTTGTCACACCTCGTTTGCCACTCTTCTATGTCTCTGGTATCCCAGATACATACGAATCACATTAGATACATACATATACTATATCTATAAGTATCTTTTATGATTTGCACGTATCCGCTATACATGACTATCTCTCTCCATCTCGCTCATCTTCATCACTATTTTAGTATATCTTATAGTAAAAATACATGTATCTAGGTGTATCTTCCTCAATATATGATAGAAAAATTCAATTAATAGTAAGACACATAATTATTTAAAAATATATATACAATACAGATGCATGTCTAATAATGTAGATTTCCTTATAAATTTCTCATAATAAATATACTGTTTTTTTCAGCATGCTTGTAATATACTTTGTATTATTCTTTTTCAAGAAATACACTATCTCCTCTCGAAATTAAAAATCCCTTTAGCTAAAAAAAAAAAAAAAGAATCCAAAAATAATTGACACTTTGGAATCAAGATTTAAATTGGCAATTAATTCCAACTACATCACTAATCAGAGGCAAATTCAGAATTTTTCGAATATGGATGTACCAAGAAAAATGTATTAAGTGAAAACTGATTCTTAATCCTCATTCCTCAAGGTCAAGAGCTCAACATTCAACCACGTGGAACAAATAGACTTTTTATAGTACGGGTGTAAGGATATAATATTATATAAATTTTATAAAAAATATACATAGAATATCTAGTTTTACAAAGAAATTACGAATTTTAAATACGCTATTTTTTACCTTTAAATTCGCCATTACGGCACAACATATATATATATATATATATATATATATATATATATATATATATATATATAGGAAGAAGAATCAACATAATTATATTAAATATGAACAACTTAATAAACTTTATTATATATTAATGATTTCTCTTTTTAATAAATGTTAAAAAAACTAGAAACAGTTAACACAATTGCCAAAGAAGTGTAATATTGTCTGTTCCTAAGTTTTATATAATTACAGAAACTAATACTGTATAAATGAAAAACATATTGGTGATACACCAAAAAAAATGAGCATAAATTTGCATAATGAATAGATAAGGTAGCTGTCAACCCTTTAACAAAAGATATAAAAATATGAAATAATAATATATGAAAAAATTTATTGTGCTTTGCTGTTTAATCTTATAATTAATAATATTCAAATACATTTAAATTATGGATAATTAACCATATTGTATCACATGTTATGAACCTTTTCGATATAATTTGTACATTTAAATTGAAAAGTACATCCAAAAGGGCAAAAGAAAGAAAAATAATTATGATGATGGTATCACTATAATTTCCTCGTGGATATTCCAATATCCAAATGATTTCTGTATATTATTTTCTCAATTTTAATTAGGTGTATACCACATATGATTAGATATTATATTTATAAATTATTATAAAATTAATCAGATCCTATATTCACTATTGATTGCTGACTAAGCCTGTAAAGTACATAACATTCATAGTATTGGGACAAATGTGATATATACTTTTAACAAATGAATATACAAATAGCCTTCGACGGTTTAACCTAATCTGTTATCTGATATTTGTTATCGATATAAAATAATAAATATTTTATAAAATTAATTAAGATATGTGTAAGTTTGTCTAGACATACCACGTACAATTATAAAGAAATGGATCATATGAAAAGTTATAATAGAAGATGGAATTGTATTAGGAGATAATATTTGGTTGATGCATGTGATTTGTAATTTTATTTGCATATTGTTTAGAAAAAAAAAACTATGAGATTTCAGTTTTGTCCTTATTATTAACAATATAGATAGATTGGACAAAATTAAAATAAAAGAATAAAATAGAGATCTTATAATAAAAGTGGGTGAGTCATTATCTTGTTCTTCTTTATCATTTAAACTTCTTTTTTTTTAAAAAATAAATAAATTAAGTGGTCATCCTCAAAGTCAATAATTGCCAATGTTATGATGCTAACTAAGTTTTGGAGAACTCATTTTCCAAGAATTACCCTACTTCTAAAATAACTAATTATTTATTTTTCTAGATAAGTTAATACGAAACACTACGATCAAAATAGTTTATTGTTGTCAATAAATATGCACATTAACAGCGAGGATTAAAAAGTCTTTATTGATATTAGTTAATTATTATTTGATTCAGTATCACTATTGACTTTATCGATATTTGTAAAGAATACTAAAATATTATTGACACTAGCTAGTAATTGTCTCTAAAAAAATATATTGAAGGATAATTAAGTTATTATCATAATTAATGACTCCTAAAATCATTTTTTAATACAGTAAAAGCATAACATATTTGTACATAAAGCCACAAAATACTTGGTGAAATCAAACCTAATTAAGATTCGAAGTCATCATGTCTTGATTAGAATCCAATTAAGAATTAAAATCCAAAAAAAAAGATGATAATATGTACTGATAACTACCCACTAATATTCATCAAAAGCATAAGAATGAATTTTATAAGGTATTTTTATAAGTTTATATGGTACTAAATGAGTGCTTTTGGACTAGATAATAACATAGCTAGCTCAAAAAATAAATCTATAAGGTCTGTTAAATCAAAACAGATTATAATATATGTTATAAATTTAAAATATGAAAATTATATATATATATATATATATATATATATAATTACTTATTTGATATATATACAGACATATCAAGTATTATATAATCCTATATATAGGTTAAAAATTTGTTGACTTAACTATTTGACGAATTAAAAAATTTCAAAAAAGCTAGCTAAGTCAAATTAGTAAAGTACAGTAAGAATGGAATAATTTCAATATTGTATAATTAGTTTAAATAGAAGTGTGTATTATACATGTATAGGTATACAAGTAATCTATAAATGAAAATTAGAATTTTAAAAACCTAATATTTATACCTATAATAATGTTATATGTATTCTATATGGAGATGTATCTATGTTCATTCTCTGTCCATGTTCATTATAATCTATATCAATAAGCAAATGCAACCTATATATCATAAAGAAATATTTCATTTTATTTATCTATTTTAACTAATCAAATGATTTATATTATTTTTCTGACCATACTATTCTTAGAATAAAATAACTATATAAAATAATAAAGTTTAGTTTAGAGTTTCAAAATATCATTAATAATGTTAGTTTAGTAAAATATATCAAAAAAAAAGTGTTGAAAATACCTCTAAACTCGACGTGAATTATTAGTTTTATCCTTAAACTATAGATAGTCTTAAAAATATTCTTTTACTTAATAGTTGAACTTAGCACCTTCGATCTTGCAACACGAGTGAAATACACCCCTAAATTCTCGTCATTTTAGGTGTATTTTCAACATTTCTCGCGATTTTTTATTAAGAGTCATACTCTTAGAAGAGTTTGAGACCACTTGTTATGTCATGTGGCAGATTGGATTATATCCAAGGTGTATCTAAGTTTTGTTAATGAAGTATAAAAGTGTTTTTAAAATCATCAATAATTAGGGAAGGAAACTAAAAATATGCACCAAATTTAAAAATATTTTCAATATTTCTCTCATACATTAAAAAATATGAAATGGAGGAAATATTAGAAACCAAAAAAAAACTAGTAACTTGTAGTAAATCAGTGCAAAGTTTTTCACACTTTTTTGTTTTTACAGTTTTCCATCTAGTAAAAAGGGAAAAATGACGTAGAATAGCAAATATTTAGCTTATATTAGGTAGTACAGTTATAGTTTAAGAGAATTATAATTCACATGTATAATTTTTTAACTAATGCTATTCATTTTTTATCTGAATAATTCATTTGATATAAATTTAAATTTATATAATTCGATTCCTGATTGTATAAATTCATAAGTTTGTGTATACTTATCCTAGCTATTTTTATACGATTTATAAAGAATTCATAATAAATTATCCTATTTGTATATTGACAAGCGAGATAAACAAACGGAGTTCTAAAAAATTCTTAAATGTATAAATATAGAATTTGTATAAACTTACGATATTTATATATTCGCAAGTGAAATATACAAACATACAGAAATATAGAAATCACAACCTTTATAGCAAACAAAACTATAAATAGAAATCACAACCTTTATAGCAAACAAAATTACAGATAGAAATCACAACCTTTATAGCAAACAAAATTATAGATAGAAATCACAACCTTTATATCAAACAAAATTATAGTTATAGAACGCAATTATCGAAATTATAGTTATGCAACATTACTATGACTGTTATTTGTAAAATTTACCTTGAACATTAAAAGTTATTGAGCATTACCATAGCAACACATTAATACGTCAGAAAAAGCAAAGAATGTCTCCATTATATTTCAAAACTTCTGAAGAAAAAACAGTTTTTAAGTTCATTTCAATTAAATATAGTTCAGATCCAAGTAAAATCCCAGTCAGCCAAAAAAAAAAAGAGGGAGAATTAATTTTTAAAAAATTGTCCTTGAAAGATCTAAGAAGAGACACATAATCATGTGTAAATGAATAAAAAAAACTCTACACTACTTTTATGGCCAACTATAAATAATTACACTTAGCTTTGTTGACATATAGTGCACTCTAGCTCAATAATTTTCTGCTCCATAACAACACTTTAGCCATAATTTTCCAAATTAATCATCCATTATTTTCAATGGATTTCCCAAAGAAAATGAAGGAAAAAATTGTGGAAATTGTGAAGAAAACAATGAAAATTGGAAAAGATGATCCAAGAAAAATTTGGCATGCATTTAAAGTGGGATTGGCACTCACTTTAATTTCATTGTTTTACTATTATAGGCCTCTTTATGATGGCTTTGGACAATCAGCTATCTGGGCTGTTTTAACTGTGGTCGTTGTATTTGAATTCACTGCAGGCAAGTTCTAACTTTAATCCCCCTTTTTTTTCGCTATAATTTTAATGTCTGAGTCAGTTTATATGCATTTCAATTAATTTTATGATATACGTGTAATTTTATCTAGTAAAACTTGAACAAATGAATAATTGTGGTGTTCAGAGTCAGTTTTTCGATTCTAGAAATGCTAATTATTTATTTATTTTGTTTTTTTTCAGGTGCAACTTTGTGCAAGTGTTTAAATAGAGGTTTTGCCACATTAACAGCTGGGGCATTAGGTGTTGGAGCAAAATATTTTGCTGACTTATTTGGGAAAGAAGGGGAACCCATTGTTTTGGGTATTTTGGTCTTTACACTAGGTATATTATGCAAGTCAAAAGCATATTATATAGTCCATAATTAGCTTCATGAAGTAATAATAATTAGGAGAAAATAAAAAGTAACTTCAATCTCATTTCACCAAAAAAAAATAATATGGATGGTTCACAAAACAATTAATAATCATATATATAAATGACATAAAAACTTTTCTATGCATATTATCTATATTGTAATATCAATATATTTTTATGCATAAATTTATGTTTCACATTGAAAATATTGAGTTCAGAGCAAATGAAAAAAAAAAGTTCTATTTTAATCGTAATTAAATGATCAATGTTCGACTCAACTTCAAATACTGAAATATGAAAGTTAAACCATCAACACTACATACATTCAATTTTTCAACTATATTTTTTTTTATATATTTACTTAATTATATTTTCAACGTGCGATACAGGTGCACTAGGTACATTTACGAGATTTTTCCCACACATGAAGAGAAGATATGACTATGGAATTTTGATATTTGTGTTAACCTTCAGTATGGTGACTGTGTCTGGTTATCGTGTGGACAAAATATTAGAATTGGCTCATCAACGTTTGTCTACTATTCTTATTGGAGCTGCTACATGCATGATTGTATCTTTGATTGTTTGTCCTGTTTGGGCTGGTGAAGATCTTCATAAACTTATTTATACTCATCTTGAAAAACTTGCAAACTTCTTAGAAGGTAAGTGAATCTTCCACTTCATTCTTTTCGTTCGATCGATCGAGGATATTTAATAAAATTAAAACGATACAAAGAGGAGTAGCAGGCGTTGACGTGAGATCTAGAGTTTGAAATGATATAGAATAATAAAAGTAGCGAGTTCATATATATTAGAATGAAGTAGCTAGGTAGATAATATTTCAGCTTATGTGATGATATTTAACTCGACGTAGTTTAAGAACTTGTTATTTTATATTTCGTGGCCGTTTTATAGTTATATAAATATGTCACGTAAAAAATAAAATAAAAAAATTAATTTTACTATTTATGTGTTTATAGAAACAAAATAAAATGACTAATAAATATATTTACATTTTTCTTTTGGCAGGTTTTGGAAATGAATATTTCATAAATTCAGAGAATGATGAAATTGTAAAGCCCTCTAATGAAGGATTCCTTGGAGCCTATAAAACAGTCCTTAATTCGAAAGCCACTGAAGAAGCTTTGGTTAGTAAAACAAAAATAATATGTTATAGTTTTTATAAAGGAAAAACGACAAATATATTTTAAATTATCGTAAATGGTATGTCCATATCCTCCATAACACTTTAGAACATTGGAACTCTTATCGTTCAAAAACCAGAGCATATATACACTTTATACTAACGGAAATACATGATTCATAATCTTATTCACCGATCCGTCATCGGACAGATGGATAAGATTGCGCCACATGTTCCTATTTAGTCTTTCGTATACGCTCTAGTTTTTGAACGGCGGGGCACCAATGTCCTAAAAGTATGACGGAAGGTATCTGCATACCATTTACAATGGTTTAGAGATTAAATTTGTCCTTTTTATAATCGAAAAATCTCTTAAGTTCTTCATAACTCGTAAAATACGTCTAATCCACGCGTCCCGTGTTATTTTATTTTAGGCAAATTTTGCATGGTGGGAGCCTGGTCATGGATCTTTCAGGCTACGTCATCCATGGAAGCAATATTTGAAAATTGGTGTGCTTGCTAGAGAATGTGCATGCCATCTTCAAGCACTTAGTGGTTACTTTAATTCCAAGCCTCAGGTATATTATATATTATTATTATTTTTATTTAATCATATTAAAATTAATTACTATTTTAATTTCACTAAATTAAAAATAATAATATATTAAAAAAAAGTCTTACACAATTGTGAAGTGTTAAGACTTTATAAAGTGATTTCATTCCTTCCCCGAAATAGAGTTAGTGAAGAATATTCTGGCAAATAAAAGGAATTATTGAAAGAATATTCTCAATTTTTCTTACTTGGTTTGAATTTATTTATATGTCATACTCTTTTAAACTCGCTTCATCGTTAAAATTATTCAAAAATAATTTTACTTTATTTAAAAAGAAATATCTAATCATAAAATTTAACTTCGATATTTGGGAAACATTATGCTTTCAAACTCATTTCACTTTTAAAATTATATTTTTGTAAAAAGTATAATCAAATTCGATTATAACACTTTATGAAACGATATATATATTTATTGGAAATCTATGATTGTGCAAATATTTTTTTTATTTTAATATTAATTATTAAAATTTTAATTTATTTTTAGGTACCAAGTGAGTTCCAAAAGGAAATAGAAGAAGCATGCACAAAAATGTGCATAGAGTCAAGTAAAGTGCTAAAAGAATTAGCATTTTCCATCAAAACCATGACGCAACCGTCTTCCTCCGCCGCAGAGATCCATCTCTGCCACTCAAAAACCGCCGTCGACGACTTCAAATCGATCCTCACCACCACCGAAACACTACTAATCTCCAACAAATTGGATCTATTGGAAATTTTTCCGGCGATTACGGTGGCGTCCGTACTCATTGACGTAATCAATTGCGTCGAAAAAATGTCCGAATCCGTTGAAGATCTATCGGTTCAAGCACATTTTAAAAAGGCGAAGAACGAGGAATTTTCTTCGTCGTCGCCGGAGAAACCGCCGCCGCAGCAGCACCAGCTGCTCCACCGCGGAATTGTTAAACCGGTTGTCGATGTAGACGATGCTGGTGGTAGTGATTTTGTCGCGATTGAGATTTGCGGTGGTGGAGAAGCGGCGGCGGGAAAGGCGGAGGTGAATCCGGTGGTGGTGAAAAGCTGAGCGGTATTAGGAGGGAAAGTTTAAATGAACTTTTTGAGTAATTTAAACTTTTCCTTTCTAAGTTTTTTTTCTTTCTCGTTAGTTTATACTATGTTATTCGATTTTTTTTTAAAAATGACGCGAAATGAATGTTGAATATTTCAAAAATTACTTATTTTTGAAAATTTCATCATGAGTGCGATATCATTTTTAAAAAATATTCGAACAAACATAGGTTGTATATATGAAAATGTAGCTTCTTGGATAGGAGCAACTTTTTGTTATTTTTCTATTTAATTAAGTATTTTGATTTCCATCTATTTCTTTTTGCAACTATTTACTGACAATAATGTGCTACTTTGTAGTTTTAGCCTGAAATATATGATTAGCTTATACAATTAATTCTTGAAAAGTTATAAGGATTTACAAAAATTTAAATATTATTGCAAGTAAAAATAAAAAATAAATCCTCCGTTATGCTAGAAACTCGAAGTTAACTACTAAGCTTAAACTAAAGAGAAAAAAAAATAACGATAAGATATTATACAGTAGATGGGGTTACTCTTCTCTTAACCAGAGCTCTCAGATTGAACCAAAAATCCTTAAAAGGAAGTGCTTCCTCAAGGCTCTACGCGGTATAAATCTAAAATAATCAAATATCAATATATATTAAGTCAGAGTAATAATGCCACTTTAAGATTAAAAGGTAAAAGTATTAAGTCGGAGTAATAATGCCACTTTTCTTCATTTTTGTCTTCAAAACTTCTTTGCTATGGCCAAACCTATTTACTAGCTTTTAAAAAAGAGAGATATAAAAAAAATAAGAAAGAAAAAAAAAGAAGGTTCGTGCATGTGAAGTGGAGTTAGGTGCGTTAACAAGGAGTTGCGCGAGTTAGGAAAAATAGAGATAGATCGAATTAAGAAGAACGGAGGGAAAATGATTAGACTGTATATACTTAATTAATACTATTTCATGTTACTGAGAAAATAATTTTAAATAAAAAGGTCTAAAGATCGAGGATTATAGTAAATCGTTAATAGGTAATCAAATGTTCTCACCCTTTGTTGTTTCAATGTGTTTTACTATATTTGTTGATTCATTTGTTTTGTATCTTGATATTTTGTTATAATATATTTTAAGAATCTTATTTAATTTCTCTTTTGAGTTGAGAATTCATAAAAAATAATTCATTTTTACCGCCATAAAGATAAATAATAAGATTTTACGCACATTATATCCTTCCATATAACTAGCCTATTCAATTTATTGTTGTTGTAGTAGTACTATTAACAAAAACATATTAAAATTAAAGACGTGTAAAATTATGTACTTGTGTACGATTATTGTACCAAAAATCTTTAAAAGTAAAAATAACCCACCTACTTTTTCCTTTTGGCAACACTAATGATGCTTACCATTAGAAGTTAATTATATTAATTAGTAGCTAGATTAGGTATGTAAACATTATGGCTAAACACATAATCCTATCACCTATATTGATAACGACCTTACGTCTCTTTGTCGCCCTTTTTAGAGAACGTTTTACTTAATTAGCGTAAAACTTTCAAGTACACACAAAAAAATTGAATCAAAAGTTAATGCGTATTGGACTCGATATAAAATTTTAAATAATCACTATTTAAGTAAATTCGCCGCTTTATTTTGCTCTCTAAAGCTATGTGTAATGTTATTTTTTCTAACTTTTCATAGTTTAATATAACCATTTTTTTTGCACTACCATATGCTATAATAAATTTAAATTTTATGCGTGCATTCAACTTGCTTTTGGTGTTTTGTGGGACAATAATTAGTGCTAATTAACTGAGGTCCAACCTGTAGAATTATTTTTTTTTTAACTAATATTCGATGTATAGGTTAAAACTAAATAGACATTATCTTAGACTGTTTAATTTGGACCTAATTAAATTGAGAAAACTTAACAAGGAAGATTACAGTTTTTTCATTTGGACTTTGAGTTGTTTCCCACTAATTAAATTTAAAAAATGGCAGTAATAAATTACAAGTGAGTACGATGATGAATATATAGACTATAGTACTTATATTATATGCTTTTTAATTAATTGAATGAAAAAAAAAACTAGGAATCATCATAGGGATCAGTTCAAAATGAACTGTTTAACTAGGTAATTAACACTAACTTTAATTTGGTCTTTAATCTTTTCAGATTGCACCGACCCATATATATATATATATATATATATATGTTGGAGCTAAATGTGTTATCACCGTAACAAAAAGAGATATTTAGTGATGATAGATTTTTTTAAGGCAGTTGAGTTAATGTCATTATTTATTTTTTCGTTCGCTAAAAGGATAATTTATATAAAGCTAGTTATAAATGCTTATATTTATTATTGTTAAATATTCTCCCCGTTCACTTTAGTTGTTATGATTTCCTTTTTTTTAGAGTCATATAATAAAAAAATTTGACTAAAAATTACAATATACAGTACTTTTTATATAGTTTTTGAATATTAATTATTTTTTATTTAAAATATCAAGTTAATATAATCTAATTTAATTTTAAAAATTAGTTAAATGGACTTTCATAAAGCGCAACATGACAACTTAAAAATGAAGGAAGGAAGTATAACTATATATAAAAAAAATGACAGAAATCCCACCTTAAAATTCACTTATTACCATTATCCCCTGTTAGTTTTATAAATTTCTAAAATTCCTCATTTTGACGCATTAGATTAATGTATCAGTGTATCAAATTAATGTATCTCGCGCATCTGATTAATGTATCTCGTGCATCAAATTAGTGTATCATGTATAAAATGTAATGTATCTTACTTAACGATTAATGTATCTCGCGCATCAGATTAATGTATCAACGCTTGTATTATTGTATCAGCTTAAGAGATTTCTGTAATTATAAACTTATAAGGAACAAATGATAATTTTTTTTTTAAAAGTATGTGATTTTTATCCTTTTCCCATAATACAATGACAATTATATGCAAAATCATTTATTCGTTGTATTTTATTTCGTGCATAACTTTCGTCAAAAACTTTTAAAAATAAAATGTAAAGTATAAATATGAAAATTAAAGGCATTATTTGCCATTATAATGATTTATTCATTTGATCATTTCTTCAAATATATATTAACACTGCTTATTAATATATCTTGAGTATCATTGTGTACAATAAATAGTTAAACTTAATTATCATTTTGCTAGTGATCTAATCATTACTTTTTGACATTATTGTATGAACAAATATTTGACTAATTAAAGCAAGAAATAATCCACTATAATTTATTCCTATGATCAGCACCTCTCCTTTTCAATTATTTTTTTCTCATAATTCTGAAAAGCAAGTTTACTTATATTCATCATTGTTAGGTTTTTAAATCACAAACAAACCTCCACCCTTCAAATTAGCATGTTATAAATTTAATTAATCCAAAATAAAGTTTTAAAATGTTAGGTATTATATAACTTTTTAATTAGAATCTAATAAATGATTTTATTTGGATGCAAAAATAATAATTGAGTCATGTGAAATGCAAAAGTAAAGTAAGAGATGTGGCATTTGTCTTGGCTTGAGCACATGAATACATTATACATTTAAACATGCTTTAAGTTAGGTATATAATTAAAAAAAAAATTAAAAAGTCAAGTGGTTCATTTAATTAGTTTTATTTTCAAGGGTTCAACTACATACAAATGTAGTCTCTAGAGTGCTTTTCATATTCTTTAAAGGGCATATCACATATGTAACAACAAAATACTTTTTTTAAGTCATATTTCTATCTATGTTGATGATATTGATAGTGAAAAGACACTTAGTGTACTAATTGTTGTGAGTTTTTTATAAATGAGTTTTTTTTTCTAAAAGAAAAATATAAAGTTTTGATATTTGGTTAGTTTTTTTCTTGTATGAAAAGGTTTAAGATTGTTCCTTATAACTTTTTGTGCACACAAGTGATTTTTTTTTAATTCGAGTGAATTGTGTGAGGTTACTCATCTCCTTTTGTGAACGTAGATCGATTGATCGAACCACATTAAATCTTTGTTACTTTTGATATATATCTCATTTGTCTTCTTACTCCTTATCTAGCGAAGATTACTTTGCTAGCTACGGCGTGACACTAAATTATTTAGATCATAACAAAGTATTAGAGATGGTCGAACGTAACTCAAGATCTTTAATTAAACTATGAAGTAATTTCCACGTTTAAGCGTCTCTAAGGGTATGTACAGTATAGAAAAAACAATTTCTAAAAAACATTTTCTTAATTCTATATGTTCGATTGACGAAGATTATTTTGAGAAAATAAGTTCCCACTAACACATCTCATCTTCACCATCACTCCATCAGCTCGATCACTACCACCCCACATCCTATTTATCCAGATTATATAATATATATATTTTTTTATTTACACATACGGAACATTATGAAAATTTCCTACTTAATTATTTTCTTTCAAAATATTTTTCTTCGTACCGAACATTCGAGTTACCAAGAAAGTTTGAAAAACTAATTAGTATAGTTATTGTAGTCCAAGTTGCACTGCAAGTTTACGTTTTAGTGTGTTAAAAAGGAGAAACAAAACTAAGTGAGAATTAGAAGTGGAGGCTTCAATCCCACTGCATAACCACTTTCTAATTAAAGCTAATTAACCTTTAATCTGTATTTATCATCAGAAGAATATTAATTTAGGACAAGTTCATGAATCATAGGAAAAGTTAGATTCTAAACAATATGTATATCATATTATACACCCACCGTCCCATATCAACCATTTATTTTTCTATTTATCGTTTCATAAAAAATCATAAATAAAATAATTTTATTAACTTACTTTTTAAAGATTTTTTTTGAAATTTTACAAATTTATTTACACATTTAAAAAGGAAGATAAAGAAGTATAGTTATAACGTTTAACTCGTTCTATCTTGAATAAATGGACAAATAATTCAGGAAAACTCTTTATAATAATGTAGATAACTAATATGTAATGGAGACAGTAAAAGTAAATTTCATTCTATTTTCACCTTATCATAGAATCCAAAGTAAATGGAATATAATACTCCATCTGTCTCTATTTATTTGTCCATATTTCCTTTTATATTTGTCTCTGTT